AAAAAAAATATCAATACAAAACTATTGAATTTGTTGGCGAAATAACTTATCATTGCTTCATCTTCAGTACAAACCTAAAAAATATGTAAAATACTTTCGTCAATCTTTAAGTAATGCAAAATTCAAGTATAAATCATCTCCGGTTAATAAATATATTGCAACAATTGACCATTTTATGATCAGCCAAGCATTGCAAAACGGGATTCGTAGCGAAATTGATTTCAGCATTATTTTAATAGTACTAAGGATAGCGACCATGATATTTTAATAGAAAAAAGAGTTAATATTTACAGAATTCGGACGGTAAAAACATAATATTTAAAAATGTTATCATATGATGTTAATAATAACGTTTGAAAGGTTTCTACATTATAATCAATTTCAATAAAAACAATTGGAAGAATAATCGCTCACCAGAACTGAATAACAGAATATCCTTTTAAAAAGTTGTCATTTACTATTTTGAAAAGCTATAATTCAATTCAAAATAATAAAAGACAATTTTGGCATTTCTGTTCGGTGCGAAATAACGGGTGGGTTCGCGTTATTTATCCGGCGGCAATACCCGTCCTCCAATTCTTATCAGAACGGGTACCTGCTTGTGAACATTGCAAATGTATCATACATGGAAGCACACATGTAAACTACTGGTAGAGGTGTACGTACACAAGCCCATGTCGTAATCTAGTTGTACATGTAGTCTTAGCAACTGGCTAGCGTTCAATTTTAGAGTGATCTTGTCCTGCTGTGATGTTTTCTCACAAATAAAATCGGAGGTATTGTTAGAGTTGCTAAAAGACTGCCATGGAGGCCACCAGGGTGACATCAGCAGTACGGATCAGACCTCGGACAATACAGTAACATATTATATTGGCGCTCCTGTGTTACCATAATAATCACGGCAATACACAAGAAAACAATAATAAGTACGGCGCAATTATTGGTAATATCTTCATTACAGGCATTAATGAAGACACCATCTCAACTTACCTAGAGATGACTTGTGACACTCCACATGTCCTTGTTGGCACGTAGGAAGGCGAGCATTTCGAAGTGGGCTGGAAGTGTGCTGCTGCGCTGCGGCGTAAGGACGTACTTAGCCTCGGAAAACAAGCGCTCACACGCATTCGATGTCGGC